AAAAAAAAAAAAGACAAAAGAAGACATTTCTGAGTACAACATACACAGCTGAACACTCAAGAACAGAACGGAACCAGCCTCCTCGGGTGTGCTGGTCCTGGCTTTCTCCGTGTTTTCTCTAGTTTCTGGCTCCCTCTGGTCTTAATCAGAAATGCTTCTGACCGGGGCAGCGAGTCCAGGCGGCGGCGCGTGAGCGAACACGGCTTTAGGCCGGGACAGGCCTGAGAAGCCGCCCTCGCCTGGCTCAGGAAAGGACAGAGAGGAGACTGGGAAATTAACAAGCGCCGTCCTCTGTGTCGTTCGCGTGTGAGACGACGTCCCGGACGGAGGCTCGCGTCCTCTCAGCAGAGAGAGCAGCGGGGCTCAGCTGGAGACGGCTCTGAGGGTGAGCAGAGTCAGGCCCAGGCCACGTGCTCGAGCCTAACTGCAGGTGACGCGAACGTTTAACGCGACGCTGGGACCTCACGTGGCCGCCCGTCTCGGCGCGCAGACGGCCAGCTGCAAACCGCCCGCATCCCGCGCCGTCCTCCACCCAAGCACCAAAGGGCCCCTCCTGAGACGGGTCTCCTGACGAGACCCATAAAACCCAAAACTCGACCAGCTCTTCGACCCCGCGACCTCTCACGCGAGTGACACCCTAGGGACGGTCCCGCAGGGGTGGGGCGAGGAAGCTGCTCGCACAAAGCCTGGCGTTTGTTAGACTGAACGACGCTTATGCCACTGCGTTCCCGACAGCGCCACGCCGCGGCCGAGGACGCGCTGGAGAGTGACGTGTATCAATCCGATGAACTATTAATTACGCAGCAGCTAAAAACAGCCGGGAAGCTCGGTTTTAGAAACGTTAAAACAAAAAAAAAAGGACGAAACGGTGAGTACACACCGATCACACGTCCCAAAAAACCTGTGCAGGTCACAAACTGGAAGCAGAGACATGAAGCCTTTTCTTTTTAAGGTGAAGGTTATTTCGGGGAAACCAGTAAGACGTGGGTCCCAGCAAGGCCAGCGGCACGGCTCTCGGACACGCCCGTGACCCGGGAGACCCGGGCTGGCGGCAGGGCCCGCTCTCGTTTTCTCGTTTTCAGAAATGACCCCGAACGTCCGCGACGGGGGGGGGTGAGAGGCGGGTCGGGGCGAGGGCACCCTGCGTTCAAGCTCAGCGAGGCGTCCCCGCCGATGACGGCCACATGGAAACAGGAGAGGACACAGCACGCTCCAAGGGAGACGCTTAAAACCAGGCCAAACCGTCACCCAGCACGCGAGCGGTCAGGGCCCGGGAGACCACGCAGTCGGAGACGCAGCACAGAGAGCAGAAAAGCGATATTCCTGACACCTCTATCACTGGACACACACAGCTGCTACACGTGAATACACACGTGCAGCCTGGGACTTACAGAGCAGCCGTGACAGGACATCGGCGCCGGGCCAGGGGGACAGGCCCTCACCGAGACACCTCGCTTTATCTGAACGTTGTGATTTTCCGGTTTTCCCCGACGACGACCCGCGCCGATCGCACCATCCCGGCCCTCGCGCCCGACACACGCACGTGCTTTAAACACTCAGTCCACGGCCTGCCACGGCAGACGCCCCACCCAGCCAGCCAGCAGGGCGGGAACACGCTCTCGCGCCGTCTTCAGGGGCTCAGAAAATTCTCTTCGACGATTGCCACTCACCTTGGGCACGTGGTGTTGCACACGAGCTGCCCGGCGCACAGGCTCAGCTCACCCTGCCGGCTCACGAGCAAGACGGCGCGGACGGCGCGGCCGCTCCGTGTTGTGTTCGCCGCAGAGACCGGCCCCCACCCCCGTTCCAGGTTCTAAATTCCGCCGGCCCCCTCGTATGTCACAGCAGGCGTGGCCGCGACCGCTCTGCGGGCTGCGCTCCGGCTGCCACAGGGAACGGACGACCCCACGAGCCGTTGGCGCATGTTGGGCTAAACACGGCGGGAACCTCACGTATATGGACGTGGACGTTCTCCTTCGGGAATTTTGCGGCAAACAAAACGATTTATTGGGCCAATTCGAACGAACTGTATCAAAACAAAGGCCTGGAAGAGAGGTTACAACGGAAGCAAATAATCCAAAGGCATTTCTGGCCTAACGCACTCGGCTCAGCTTGGCAGAGGCACGGACAGGGTGTGGTCACGTTTCCCTACAGGAAGTTCTGCTCCCGAGTGCAACAGCCGCAGAACACACCGCACATTTAGTGCGTGCCTGGGAGACATTTATTTGCCAATCCTTCAGTTACCAATGGGAGGGTCACGTGCAGCCTGACCGTAAAGCGTGTAGAATCTGATCATTTCGAGCCACGCTGCCCAGGACAGCGGCGTCAGACGCCCGGGCCTTCGAGTATCCGACTGTGGTTGGCGTGACTACATTTCATTTTAAATTTAAAACTTGACACTCGGCCGGGCGCGGTGGCTCACGCCTGTGATCCCAGCTCTCTGGGAGGCCGAGGCGGGCAGATTGTTTGAGCTCAGGAGTTCGAGACCAGCCTGAGCAAGAGCGAGACCCCGTCTCTACTAAAATTAGAAAGAAATTAATTGGACAACTAAAAATACATAGAAAAAAATTAGCCGGGCATGGTGGTGCATGCCTGTAGTCCCAGCTACTCGGGAGGCTGAGGCAGGAGGATCGCTTGAGCCCAGGAGTTGGAGGTTGCTGTGAGCTAGGCTGACGCCACGGCACTGCAGGCACTCTAGACTGCGCAACACAGTGAGACTCTGTCTCAAAAATAAATAAATAAATAAATAAATAAAACTTGACACTCGGTTCAGTCCTTGGAAAACTTCTAAATATGTTAACGTGTGCTCGGAACAACCTGGATGTGAATGTACTTTTTTAGCTATTTTGTGAAATCTGAGTACAGATCGAGCATTCCCGACAGAAAGTTAGCATCCAGTTGAGACACGCTGTGAGTGCTTTTTGAAGACTTAATGTGAAGAAGAAACGCAAAAGACCCGTTAACAATTTCCGTATGTCGCTTATGTATTGGAATGGTATTTTGGATATACAGGGTTAAACAACATATCAAGGTAATTTCACTTTCTAAATGTGGTTCCCAGAAAATCGAGTGACTCTCACGGCTCACGCACGGCACCAGCTGGGAGCACGGATCTGGTGCCCGAGCACTCCAGTGACACCTACTGGACACAGCGGCACGACACGGCCCACGACCAACACTCACGACGGAGATCTAACGCCCGCCGCGGCCCGCCGGCTCCGCGTCCGGAACACGAGAGGATACGACCAAATTCACCGAACGATGAGGCAAATCTACGCTGTGAGGAGGGGATTGGAAATAGGGTTCCACGGTCGTTCAGATCCTAAAGAAAATAGGACTCACGGGTACCGGCCCAGAGTGACCAGGAGCCGGCGTGCACGGCCGCTTCACCGTCCCCCGGGGGCTCCGGGCAAGGACGGAAGGTCACCTTCACGGGACCCTTCCGTGACCCACGCTCGTGGGCTCGTCCCGCTGCCCGGCTGGTCTTCCCGCCCCTGCTCTTTTCTGCTCTGCGATCTGCCTTGCAAGCCCGTCTTCTGTCTGACTTGACGATTTTGGCACGCCCGCTAACGCTGTTTTTCTTTTCAGCGTTCCAGTTTTTCTTTGTCTCCTTCCCCGTCATCCCACAAGCAGTTCCAGTTGGTTCTGTCGTTTCAGGTCTTACGTTCAGGTCTTTGATCCATTCCGAGTTGGTTTTTGCATATGGCGTGAGGTCAAAGTCCAAACTCGTTCTTTTGCGTGGGACGGTCGGTCGACCCGGAACCATTTATGGAAGAGACTGTTCCTCCCCCGTCGGGTGGTCCCGGCACCGCTGTCGAAAATCGCTGACCACAGACACGCAGGATTGTTTCCGGATCTCGACTCCATTCCCTCCGCCCATGTGCCCGTTCTCACGCCCGTGCCACTGTCGGGATGACTGCAGCTTTGTGTGAACCTCGACGTCAGGAAGCGCGGGGCTCCCAACTCTGCTCCTTCTCAGGATGTTCTGGCTATTCGGGGTCTGCTGCATTTCCACGCGAGCTCGAGGATCAGCTTGTCTACTTCTGCCAAAGGCGGCTGCGTTAGCCGGTTATGTGAAGAGCGGCATTTGCTGGATTAGGCTGACGGAGTAACTTCACCTTTGCTGTGGAGTTTAGCGCTGTAGGAACTCAGGATTTTTGTCTAGGATTGCTTGACACTGACTGAGAGCAGAGGGTGCTGGAAAAAGCTTCACTCCAGAGCTCGGACGCAAACTGTGTTTAAGTCCCAGACCTGCGGCTCGAGTTCTGCAGGACCCGCGGTGAGTTACTGACCCTCTCTGTGCTCCTGTGTCACCCGCGATGAGAGGGGGGGCGTCCCTGTCCACCCCGCAGAGGTGTGGGGACGAAACGCCGCCGCCGAGAACCGCGGTTAGGAGGCTCCTTCAGGGCGCCCCGCGGACCTGGGCTGCCGCACTCCAAGGGGCTCTCTGGCCCGGGAGCAGCTGTGGGAGCCGGACGGGCCTGGGGACCAGTCCGACCGTCCGTCTGCGGCCGTAAAGGAGACGCTCCGAGGGGCGGCAGGGACGTGCTCCTGGGCATAGGGCCGTCCGCCGGAGCCCTGCCCACCCGAGCTCCCCGTGAGCAGGACACGGACTCCACACGGCCCGAGTCTGACCCGAATCAGGCTCTGAGAGCGAGGGAGGCCTGGCGTGGAGGGAGAGGGAAGCGGGCCCGGCCAAAAGACCCCAACCGCAGTAACAGCGCAACTGCGACCAGGCCCGGCAGCCCACGGCCGTCCCAGCCGCTCGACACCCGGCGCCCGAATGGCTGCGGCGCGCGGGGGTGCGGCAGCAGGACGGCCTGGCGACAAAGGCAGGAGGCAACTCAAGCTCTACTTTTCTGGACTGGAAAGTGCTCCTTCCTGGGCTTCCTCATGGTTTCCAGTGTCGTTATTTATGACCTCACCAGCTCCAGGGGCCTCCCGGACACCGGGCCGCTCTGCCTCCCTTACCCTCCCTCGCCGCCGCTGGGTAAGTGAAAACTCTGCCGACCTATGCTCCGTCGGCTGGCCGGGAACAGACGCCTGCGTGCTGGCACCTGCCGAAGGGACGGAAGAGAACCCTGAGGCCCACGTCAGTCTCGGGGGCGGATGGGAGACAGGGTTCCGAGTGAGTCAGTGTCCAACTGTACAGGATAAGATTTCTACTCTATCGCGGCCCCCACGTGAGTCCCGACGGGAACGGCTCTAAACCAGTCAGGAAACAGCGAACAGCCCGGTGGTCAGAGTCCCCACAGCGCCACCCACTTTCTGCCTTGCTGGCAGGTCCAGCCCGTTTGCCGTGTGGAGAAAGGACAGAGGGACAAGGCACAGCCCAGCCCCTCCGGGAGAGGGAGGCGCCGCCGGCAGCACAACCCACGTCAGGACGCTCCGCACGCTCAGGTCACTTGTTTGTAATAGGAGATCATGTCATCCAGGGTCTCGAAGGTGACCGTGGCGGCCTGGGCCGGGCTGTCGGGGGGAGGAGCGGGCGACGCCTGCACCGCGCTGGGGCCACAGCCCTGGCGAGAGCACGGCCCTGGGTCGCCCTGCGCTGGCCCCGGCCTGCCCCGCGCCTGGCTGCCGGAAGCACCGGGCCTCCTCGGACCCACGAAGTAATCCGGCGGCGGCGCAAACTCCGGGTCTCTCTCGGCACGGAGGTCCGACTGCCTCTTCGACCAGTATCCAAAGGAAAATTCTAGTGAAAATAAGAAAGGGGACTTTCAGAACTGATCAATCGATCAGCTAAATTTGCTGTTACTAATGTAAGCAATGCCCACAAAGAATAAGAGAAACGAGGCTACAAACAGGAGTGACGGCTTCCGGCTGCGCAAGAGTCCACGGACGCCTCCGCGGAGGAGGCTGGCAGGCTCTGGAGACGCTGCCGAAAGGCGCCAGATCTGAGAGGGAACTACACGAGAACGAAACACCCAGACCGCCTGGCTGACGCGACACTGCAGGAATTCTACTCGCACCAAACACACACTCTGTCCTTGGTGAACTTGGGAGACACACAAGGGACCCGCCCCCGTCTAACTTGGTGTTTCCTCTCCATTTTTAGCAGCGGCTCTCGCGCTTCTCTTACAGTAGCTTCAGATCTTGGCACAAACAGCACAGGCTGGCGTTTTACTGAACTGATCTCTTTCAAAGAGGCATAAACCACGGCCTTGCGAAGAGAGGCAGCTGCAGGCGCCATGGTGAATTTACGGAAATTACTGACCGAAAAATCTGCACACCCTGATAGAGCCACATGTGAATCCAGGTCAATGCCCTGTCACACGCCACGTTCCACAGAACGTAAGAGAGACCGCCGGGCCGGGCGCGGTGGCTCACGCCTGTGATCCCAGCACTCTGGGAGGCCGAGTGGGGAGGATCGCTCAAGCTCAGGAGTTCGAGACCAGGCTGAGCAAGAGCGAGACCCTGTCTCTACTAAAAATACAAAGAAATTAGCTGGACAACTAAAAATATATAGAAAAAAATTAGCTGGGCATGGTGGCGCATGGCTGTAGTCCCAGCTACTCGGGAGGCTGAGGCAGGAGGATGGCTTGAGCCCAGGAGTTGGAGGTTGCTGTGAGCGAGGCTGACGCCACGGCACTCTAGCTCGAGCAACAGAGTGACATTCTGTCTCAAAATAAAAAAAGAGAGGCCGCCAAAAGCACGGGCAACGTGAGACCACCAAACCCCGGGAAGTCTGTGACAGCAGACACCGCGGAACGGCGTCCCAAAGCTGTGAAGCCACACGAGGGCAGCACAAATTTAAAACTTCCCCCAAGTGCTTCTAAAAACACAAAAACCAAAAACATTTCCATTCACTGGGGAGGTTTTGCACTCCGAAGCCGCCCCCACCTTTTCCTCGGTCCCACTCGCGGACGTGCGGCACCCCGGGCCTGGTGTCCCTCCTCTCCTGGACGACGACCTCCACTCTGCTGCTCTGGGCGGCGGCTCGCGGGGTCGGCGCAGCCTCCGGTTCCAGCGGCAAAGGCCCGACGACGTCTGCGCCTGTTTTTTGCAAGGGAACAAGACGTCACTGTAACACGGAACGTGCTAGTCCTGACGGCGAGAGCGAGGCCGGCATTCAGAGCGCCTGCCACGCCCGGCAGCGGATTATTTAAGCACTTCGCAGACGACAGGCCGGTTAACTCCTGCGACAAGAATGGAAGCCGATATTCCCACGTTGTCCCCATTTTACGGAGGAGGAGAGTTAAGCTCGGAAGTGCCACCCAGGTAGGAAATGACAGGAGGCAGGACTCAGAACCCAGGCGGGAAGGATTTCAAAGTCTCTGCTCCCCCAAACCAACAACCCAAGGAGCGGAAACCCCCAACCTGCGCGACTGGAGCAGCGACCTCAGGTGAAGCAGGAGGGGCCGGGGTGGCAGAGAGCTGGAACCGGCAGAGGCTGCTCAGTTTCGGCCACATTTCAAAAACTTACAGGAAAACGGATTTTTGAAAAAACCCTGGGGGGTACTTCACATCTTCTGGAAGTGACGGATGTTCGGGAGATAGAGCAGAAACAGAGAGATGACGCGCAGAGCTCGCCGCGTCACAGAGACCGCACTTATTTGAAACTAAACGGACGGTTTTCAAATTCCTCAACGCTTCCGCTCTCTTTGCAAAGCAAACGCGAAGTTCTGTTCAGAGGTCAGGAAACAGCCCGCAGCTCAGCACGGGCTTCTGTGGAGCCGCTACACGTCCCCGGACACCACGCTCCCCTTTTTCCCTTGGTGATAGAGCACCCCCAATTTCAGCTGGGCACGCGGCCACCTCCCGGCTTCCCCTGCAGCTGGGCGCGGCCCGTGGGGCTGAGCTCTGGCGGGGGCTGCAAACGCACAGGTCACCTGTGACTTCCCACTCACACCTCCGGAAAGGAAGCCGGTTCCCCTCCCCTCTCTGCCCCTCCCCTGGGCCAGGTCCAAGCAGGTACCGGGAACAAGTTCTGACTGCAGGCGAGAGCCACGTCTAGGCACGGCGGACACAGCAGGACGGGGAGGAGCCCAGGACCGCGTGACCTTCCGGGGCAGCGCTACTGACCTACCCTGGACACCCGTCGCTCACCGCCTCTGACGGCTTAGCCGGAGAAACGGACTTCTGCCTCGTTGGAGCCACCCCGTACGGGGGTCTCTTTGCTACGGCAGCTCGGCCTGTCCTGCCGTCAGCTCACGCGGTGACCCAGTCTGACCACGGCACCTAACGGAGCTCCGAGTTCCAGATCACCAACTTCCGGAGCAC